ACATCAACACAATTGTTAGAATAACATTTACTGAACACTATGGATAAAATAAGCACCTGGTCATCTGATACTGATACATGAGTAGCGGTGTCATCAACATTCTGTTCACAGGAACTGCTGCTTACAGCCACTTGGAGTGCCTTATCATCAATGAACTGTTATAATGTTAAGAGAATACCATCATAACATTTTCAAACAATATCCACCTATAATAACTAAGCAACATTTTTAGGAGGGCAGGAAAAATTGTATGCAACTTATTTAAAATTCTTTTACTACAAGTACAAATCAACATTTTTGACATGGTTCAAATCTAAATGCAAAAATGGAAGCACTACAACTCACACTGCTAATCATAAACAACTAATTAACAAACTTGTGCAGTTACCTGGATTTCTTTACGATTTTGTTTCGACAGAAGTCCTTAATGTTTTTCCAGGACCTTCTGTAAAGTGTGTCCCCTTCTTTTCTTAAGCAGATATCTATATCTTTCTTACTGGGAACTATATTTGTGAGAATATGGTTTCCAAGGTGCCTCACAACGGCTGCAGTCTCTTTCTCAGTCCATCGTATTTTTCGTGTTTGTTTCGAGTTGTTTGTCAGAGGTGGTGGTTGAAATCTTTAGAAAAACAAAATAGGTTATAAATTAAAACATAAAACATTGTGATGAAATAGATGAAACAAGTATAAAAAACAATAGAAGAGTCAAGCATTATTTAAAAAGAGTCTTTTCTATTTTTTCGCGGTTGTGCCATGTGCAAATGGTTAGGCAGCAGGGAAATATCAAGGGGCGGGGGGTATGTTTTAGTGACTGCTTAGGGGAGGGTGTATAAGAATGTGATCTGGTATTTTAAATGCACATTTTTTTGTGATTATTACTATTTTGAATAAAGAATGTTTTGAGTAGTGGACTCCACCGGGGTCCTTGTTGGCCCCACCAGCTGTATAAGTCAAGTCTTAAATTAGTAAATTAGATTTAAAAACTGGGGAGAGGGTGACTAATGCGCACAATATACAAATTTTTGGTTTCTAAATTTGTCCTCATTAAACAAATTAAATCATTTTATATTCATAACTTATTTTTTGGGTTAAAAAAAAAACCCATTTCTGTTTAAAGAACCTTGGTTATGATTATCATGTGGTAATGGTTAATGGTTTTAAATTTACATAGTGCAAAATACAAAAAGTCTCTATGCACTGTAAACACTAGTGTACAGATGTTTGGAAATGTGAAAGAATAAAAAAAATATATGAAGATGAAAACACGAGCCAAACATTTTTTTTTTACCAATTGAGTCCAATACTATCAAGGGGTTTTGGATGGTTTTGTAATGTGTTTTTGATTTGCGGGGTTCAGGAATTTTTTTAAACAAATTTTTACCCCAAATATAGGTTGCTATGGGCATACAATTATTTTTTTTTTATTGAAATACCAAGTGAATCCTGTACTACATTGATCCAATCACAATCAAGGGGTTTAGATGTTGATGCAGTGTTTTCTTGGAGGTTTTCAGTGTATTTTCAGGTATTTTTCACTTGCACTCATAAAATAGGTTCTTATGAACATAAACTTATTTAATTTATTAAGATAAAAAGTGAGTCCTATATCACAATCAAGTGGATTTGTTGGGCTCTACAGTGTTTTTTTTTTTAATTTGTGGGGTTTGGCAGGTTTGTGGGGTTTCTGAACTTTAGCAATTAGCCCAAAAATCATAAATGAGATTTCTCAAACTTTTGAGTCAGCTTATACACCAGAATATAGAGTACGTGGTACATTAAATAATATAAATTTACCAGGCAGTGTAATGAATTGATAGTCTGTAAAATACAAAGTGTTATTGTTATTGTTGAGGTTAATAATCAATTAATAAACATTTTTCTTATGTACTTAATCGGAAGCAAGACATGTTCTACCCCTTGCATTTTAATATGAGTGAGTTAGAAATGTTACAATAGTCTTTAACAATGAAATTTAATAAAACATGTTACAGTTTATTCTATGAAGGTACTGTACTTGCTTTTGGTGACAATTCACCCCATATAAGACTCTGAAGCTAATTCAAGACAAGAGGGAAATTGAATTATATATCCAATAAACCCTGCTGGTTAACATCACTGAGATTTTTACAAAAAGTTAAAGTTCAAAACAATCTTTTTAAATGGTAAATATATTAATTCAATATTAACACTAACAATCCGACACACACATTTTATAAATAAAAAAATTAAAATATCATCTTGGGTATTTACAAAATTATATTTTTATCTCTAAAACTCACCAACATTATTTTGTTCCTCATGTGATCGTCATCATCCGATTCACACTCAGCATCAACCTCTGAAAAAATAAACAAGTTGAAAACTAAAAATTAAATAAAAATGGGGGAAACACATAATTTAAGTCTGCAAGTATGTAGTCTTCATCAGTAAGAATGTTGTCTGTTATGTATCGCATTTCTCAGTCTACCATTTAACATTTTAACATCATTTCCTTATATCCTAGAAAATAAAAATATTAAAGATGTACTAGCATATAACTGTGCTCCGCACGGTGTTGAATGAGTGGGGAAAGGTGGCGATGTATATTGTTGAATGTTATGGGAAGTCGAGGAGGCAATCGTTGTAGATGTTATGGTTAAAATGTCATTATTTTTCTGAAAGACGTCTTTGTAGATAATGTTTTGAGTGTCTTTGCTGAATAGTCCTTTTGAGGAATTATTGTCCGGTTTAATGAAGGGTGGATCCAGAATTTTTCCAATGGTTGGGGTGGGGGGAACATTTTAGAATAGATGTGAGATAGAAGTGAGTAGGACATAACATTAATATGCACTGAAATTTCTAAAATTTAGTGGCAAAATGGGGAAGCCTGTCCCCCCACCCCGTGCCCACCCCACCCCCTTACTGATTGGTGGAGCTGGCTTGACCGTAAACTTAAACTTCAGTGTTGCTATCTTAATGCACTAGGGCATTGCGGAAGAATAGCCATTTTGACTCAATCCAAATCGACCCAGATTTTAGAGATCTGCGACGACGAGTTACTTGGAACAGTATCTGTCTCTTATACACATCTAGATGTGTATAAGAGACTGCACTAGGGCATTGCGGAAGAATAGCCATTTTGACTCAATCCAAATCGACCCAGATTTTAGAGAGAGGGGCATAGGCCTATAATTGGCCACTCATGTGGCAGCGGTTAGCCCTAGCCGAAATGATTAGGCCTAGCTTATATCATGCCTTGTGCACAGGCATATCTTTATTTTTACCTGATCAATTTCTAAAACATGCCAATTTATTGCTGATGTTTTGAGCCATATGACTACAGTAATATTCAGTATACATTGGGTACTCTGTGGCGTTAGAGGCAAGTACGGGAACATGCTGCTCATATTATTTTGTTGACGTGAGGTGTGCGCGGTGACGTAATGAAGTTGCGAAACATAGACTGTTTCTTTTGCGGCCTTACGCGATATTTTTCAGATCTGAGCACTGCGGTACAGATTAACAGAGGGATTTATAAATAAACTCGCGAAACATGGCGAAACAGGTACATGATTTCCGGTGGCTTTTGGCTGTTTTTTCATTGTTATCCAATACCCAGCCTTGAAAAGTAGCGGAATGTGGTCGTGACATATAGAAACCCCAGAGTATGAGATATGAGCACATTCATGCCAGCCGTTTTAGAAGAGATAGGTGAACTTACACCGGGGCGTTAGTAGAATTAATATATAGATACATTGTCCCCTGTAAAAAAAATGACCAACAAATCACAAAAATTAACCTTGAAATTAACTTGCTGACTTTGAAGAAATATAAAAATTATCAAAGAAATTAATGTATTTAAAAATGTTTTACTTGTTTTTTTTAATTATTATTATTATTTGGGTACATTGTTTAAAAATGCACTCATTTCTATAATGAAGTTGATAATGATTTTTTGGTCATTTTTCAGGGAACAATAACATCTTTAAACAAAATATTGATCATTTAAAATATATGTACTGTACCTTCTAATGGATTTAGCATTACTTCATGTAAATGATTCCCCAAGTTTCTAATTTTTGTTTATTTGGCTGATCTTTTCTCCTTGTTGTTTTCATTCAACCATTTGATCACTGATTTTTCATCTTTATGTAATGTGGAGAGATGTCGTGGTAGCTTCTTTTGTGGAATATGACAGTACATACAATAGTGGACCTTGTCCCAACGCCTTGCTTCCGTGTTATTTGTTTTCATGACAGTGATTCCTGTATCCTTTACAGAGGTTGATACCACTTCTTCCTGTACTTCCCTTAAATCATCAAGGGTGTTTAACATTCGATTTGGGTATAATGGATATAATTGACTTGTATATTCCCAAAATAATTCTTCACTATTTGGGACCACCTCACTGTCTTCTCTGTCTATATTTCCATCATCATGCTGGTCATCTTCAATGATTACCGTATCTGCTGTACTAGAATCATCATCCTCTACATTATCATCATTATCTGCTGTACTTGAATCATCATCCTTCTCATTATCAGCCGGGAATCCGTCGTCGCAGACATATACTTCTGACCAATCACAGTACGTCGATTGGCAGTCGATCATGTCAACAACAAGTCAACACTAGATTTGTTTTCAAGCTCGCAAAACTCTTGCTGGGTTTTGTTGTTCACCAAGAAAATATGGCTAGAAAATTGTAAGTTTAAACGTCATATATGAATATGATTCATATGATGATAATGGTATAGGTATATCACTTTTATTTTTTTTGCTTTCATAGAGTAAAAATAACGTAAGGCTTTGATCAATATCCAGATCTAAACTAAACTTTGCGAACGCCCACCCCATGCCTAATAATGCCTAGGCTAGGCCTAGTAGTATATAGGCCTAGGCTAGGTCTATAGTAGGCCTAGGTCTAGACTACTACTACTACTACTACTACCATAAAGACATAAAACACTACAAGAATATATGGATTGAAGAAAAAAATAAATAAAATAAATTAGATACGAAAAAGCAGCATTGGGCTATTTATTAATCCTATAATTAGACATGGCCTAGGAGGGCTAGGCCAGGTCCTAAAAAATAAATGATGTATAATATTAATAATGAGTAAGCCTAGGCCTGTAATATATGACATACTGTACCTAGGCCTAAGTTAGTAAATAGTCATTGATTTTACTTTTTCAGATTAACGTTCAATACTCTATCCACTACAACTGCAAGTTCTGGATTCAACTCTCCAACAGCTTTTTGCATGTACGTTAATTCCTATATTACTGCTTTTTCGTTAAATTAGATTTTAGTAACTTATGTGCTGTTTTATTTAGGTCTAGATATTTTATAGAGGCCTGAGACCTAGGTATGTTCGTATTTTGGGTAGAGATTTCTTTTTCTTTCTTTTTTTTGTTGTTAATACTGTAATACATTTATGCAATTTTACAACACACATTTTGGGTCTATGTTTTTTTACCAGTTTTGTACACGCTTACTGTATCTGTTTCAGATGGACAACAAACACCAGGAGCAATACCCATTGTTGTAGGTTTTCAAGATAGGCTGATTTGTACTGGTAAGTTTTCCATAACCTTATTGATCTTGTCTTAGAATACGGTCACCATGGCAGGCAAAACTACTTGTTTGTAATAACCTCAAATAGATAATAGTAATAATAATAATAATAGTAAAAAATCATATCAATTATAATAAATAATAATAAATAACAAAAATAATAAATAACCAAATATTAATAATAATAACAACAACAACAACAACACTGTTAATAATAATAATAATAATAATAATAATAATAATAATAATAATAATAATAATAATAATAATAATAATAATAAACAATAATAATATAAAATAATAAATACAAATAATATTTCAATCAATGTATAATTTTATTAATTTCAGGAGCACCATTGACCACACCAGCGGATCAAGAATCAGCAACAAACAAGATCAAGAGGTATCAGTGATATGTCAATGTGAATGAACAAATATTACAGTATATATTCCTTCAATACCACTGACAATATTTAACTCAAACCTATTAAAGTTTTTGTTACTTTGTTAATTAAGATTACCATCTTAATTTTTTAATTATTTTTTTCTACTAATAAAATGAGGACTTAATGTATCTCTTAAAAATGAGTACTATTATGATGACCTCAAATACTAAGCCCCTTTACATCAACTTTATGTAGTGTCATGTTGATTAATGCAATAATGAAACTTTATTCTTGAGTGAACTTCAACAAATGCCATTTATAATAATTTTTAAGGAATTTAAATTAATTTTTTTCCTATTTAGATGGGATGAAGAATGGACAATGATTCAGTAAAAGAGATGCTCAATTCAAATATTTTTAGCTACAAATATAATTCGAAGAGCCGAGGTTTGCGATTAGTCCAATCAAAGCGACAACGGACTGAAATTTATTACCATGAATTCTTTTATGTCCATTTTACTTAATTCTTTGCGACTGTACAGGTCTACAAACGGGTCGAACCGTCCCATCTATGAACCCCCCCACCCAACAGTTGTTGAGCGGTGCGCCCTTAGTTTGAATAACATTACAAAATTCTTGAAGCTTACCTGGAGCAAGTCATGGCTGTTGGAGGGTTTCCAAAAGATGGTTACAATTGTCGTAAATAATGATATCCAAGATTTTGGACGTTGCCAAAATCAACTCTGTTACTGACCGAGTATCAACATGGATACGCAAAACGATAAAAAAAACATACAAAATGCCTCGATTCCATCAAATACGGATCCACTTTTGCATCGCACTTCATGCGGAATACTTAAAACATCATAAAGTTGATAAATGTCCTTTTCAAATCTTGAATTAAATAATTTTATTTTGTATATATATATTAATGTTAAGTGTATATATATATATATATATATATATATATATACAGGTATATTGATATTGGCTTGTGTGTGAGGAGCTAAAGCGGCAGAGGCATATTCAAGAGTGGGTCTAACGAAGGTGGTGTAGCCTTGTGCCTTAAAGACCGTCTGACAAGCTGAATTATAATGACTTATATCATAAGAAAATATACAAATATATATTTGTATGTATGTATGTATATGATAATAATAATAATATATCAATGCGATATATAATTACATGTTCTAACTGGACTCTGTACATAGGATGTATACATTGTGCCTGTATTTAACATTTTTCAATCATTGTCAATCTAAAGTCAGAGTTATGTCCTGGTTTCGACCCTTTAACTTCACTATTGGATAGGCTTATCTTCATAAGACCTCTATGAATAATTACTGTAGTGTGTAGTGTTATAATTGCTATGTGCTTGTTTGTAAATTTGACATTTTGGTAAAATTAATGAATAATTGACACACTGCCTTAATTCAACTTTTATTATTTATTTATTATTAAATTGTATTTATAATATTTTATTGATGGATGCTTAATATAATTTTATCTGGTGGTCATGGCTTAAAGTTTGATTCTAAACTTATTTTGGCCTCTTAATTTCACACACTTATTATGTAATGTATTATTATTCTTATTTCTTTTACTATTAAGTTTGTGAGTGAACAAATTAAATGAAATAAAAAAACACAGCTATACAACTGCTTCTCTTTTGTTAAATAATGGCTCTGAAAAGAGCCTTTTGGTTTGAGATTCTTGTTTACGTGAGACTGCTAAATCTTGAAAGATGTTTAGCTATTGCTACATCTTTCTCTGGTCTGCTAAATGCTGAAAAAACAGGTGGTGGTGGAGAACTGAGTTGTGGAATGGAGTTTTGTAGGTCTTTCTTCCCACTGCTACACAACTGGATTACCTCTGCTATAAGCTCATATTTTGTACCTGGTTTTTTAGCCATTTATTCCTCTATTTTTTCCTGTATATGAGGATGAAAGCAATTTGGGAAGTGCTCTGAATGCCTAGTATAAATGTTTTGAATATGATTCTTTAAGCTCATAAACGTCCCAAGCATTTCATTTGGAACTCCGCTGTGTCAACGAAGTCACCCAACAAACATACTTTTTTGCCCACTCCTGCACAACTTCACAATATTTTTTCTTTCCCGATGGCTCAAACTCTTTTTCCAAGACCTGAACAAATATTTTATAAGAACGATAAATATTAATTTTTTTGCTGAACAAAACAATATTTCCAAAACCCAACCAAGAGCAAATTATTTGGTTCACTTATACTAATATAGGAGGGTAAAATGAGTAAAAATAATAATTATACAATAATAATTGGAGTGGAATAAAGCCAGAAGATGATGAGAAATTAAAAAAATAATAGGCCTGAAGGAACAGTATGAAAATAATATGAAAAACAAATTTAAAATCATATTGATGCATAAAATAGTTACTATTTTACAGTATGGTTTTTTTTTTTTTGCAATATAAAGAAATTGAGGAAGTTTATTTAGTTGATCCCTGAATAATAAGATGTTTACTATAGGGGAGGAACACAACTATAAATTGTAACAATGTTATAATTTGTTAAAAAACGTGAAATGTGATACACAGCGTACGCAACAGTTTCAAGTTCATTCAGTGCAGAGACATGATTGGTACAGCATGTATGCTACAGTAGTACAAAACTTTACAGTTTTATTTATGAAAGGAAGCTTTGGATTTATTTTTACATTGAAGGATTCATGGATGTGTTTGACATTGAATTTGAAAGAAGTATGATTTAAATATTGTTTTTACAATTGAAGGATATGCTTGTACTTCACACAGTATAAACCTAACCCCACAAAAGCCTAGGCCCTAGGCCTATAGTACAAAATATCTGGGATCACGTAGTAAGGGCAGACCTAGGCCTATGCCTATTTAATATTAGTACAGTGTTTATTTTCAATTCACTCAAACATGTCCGGTGGTGAAGTATGTATTTGCATCGTCGTCGCAAAACTAAAACAAGAGCTTATCATCTGTGTGGCCAACATTGTATATTACGTCATAGATAATTAGCATATCATCCTAGATTACTCGTCGTCGCATATCTAAAACTCCTTAGTAACATGCTTAGATTTGACATCATAATTTTTAATCATATCTTCAGTGGTTATAGTGATGCTTTTTCACATCTACAATTATTAAAATATATAAAGCTTTTGGGTCTGTTTGTTAGTCGATAACACATATTCCTTAATTTTCATTATTTCGGGGATTCAAACCAGCTTCGTTTTAGCTTCGGCTAACTGTTTCGGGTGGTTCCAATGGTCTTAATTTTAATTAATTATTTGTTGCAAAAATAGGATGGGTATAAAAAATGTTCACATCAATCTCAGCCTCACCATGGAAAGTGAAACAAATTATGATGGCAATCTAGATGCCAGGAAATTATACTTTTATATTTCACATTTCTGTACATTTTAATCAGAGAGGAAGAATGTACAGTACTAAGAAAGTTCACATTCACCTCAACCCCACCACAGTTTTCAAAGGGCCTCATTTGATGGAGGATGTTCAATATTTAAATAATTGGGACCAATTTTGCACCTAATATCTAAGTTATATGGACCCACATTTTAAATAGTCGATCGATTTCAACAATTTTACCTTTTTATGCTAATATGGAACCATGTTTTAAATGTGGACTCATTTCATGGGTATAAACTCAATAATGTAATATACCCTTTTAAAATCTGGGACCCAATTTACACATAAAATCTAACTACAAATCTAACTAATGTGGGCACATCTTTTAAATTGAACCAATTCCATGCATATAAACTGAAAAGTGTGGACCATTTTAAAAATGGGGCTTCATATTTTTGTTCTTCAAATATACATATAAAAAAAATAGAGCTTTTTGGTGAATAAGGCTGAGAGAGCGGAAGCAGTATGCTCTGAACTTTATGCTAATCGAATAGGAAGGCCATTTACCTTTCTACTACAACTAAAAACAAAAGTGGTTCCATGTATTTTTTATTTTACTATGTGCAGTTTTTTCTACATAAGACCATTTTTAGTATTCTCTAGTATTTTAGGAAATTTCAATTTTTTTGTCACAATTATTGTACATTGGTATATTCAAACTTATATTCAAATGAACGTTTTTGGGTACAACAACACATTCAATTTACAGTATACCAGATTTATACAAGGATATAAGGATACTTTATTCATCCCACCACGGGGAAATTCCATGACTGAATATAACAATGTGAAAAAGCAAAAGACCACCTGATGATGATGATAATAATAATAATAATGATAATAATAATAATACTATTATTAATAATAATAACAATAACAACTTTTCTAATTCAGACTTGAGGGGAATATCTTCTGTGTTATTTCCCACTTAAAATTGTGTAATTTGGTTTCCACTTAACATCGTTTTCTTAATTGTTCTCTAATTTCTCCATTGTCTAAGTTCCCCTTGAGGTAGGTTTTACATAAATAATAGTAATAATAATAATAATGATAATAATAATAATAGCTATGATATATTTTTATGAACTTGTAATCAATACAGGTCACCCACACTGAAAACCCTCTACCTCTGATGTTTACTATTGAATTCCCTAATTGCTCTGGGGAGGAAGGAGAGACGATGGCTTTCTGTGGAGCCCAATGGCAGCCGCAGTCTACTGCGACGTTCCAAATAACTGTTGGTAATATCTGAATGAAGGACACAACCGTTCGTGGTAGACTGAGTCCACCACGGGTAACTCACACCCAACCAAACTACCTGCCCTATCCTCACCAGCCTATCAATCCTATCCCTATCTAGTTTATTTACATTCCCAACCCAGGCCAATAAGCAATACATCTACACTCAATGTAAACAAACACTGATGCCCCGAAAGAGACATCAACCGTCGCTACATACATGGCATCGCTAAGCTAGTCTAGGCCTAGCTAAACTAGCCAAAGAAACATCACTATCTGAAGACTGGTTGAGAATATAGACATCCAAGTAATACATGTAACTAAAATAACTGTAGGCCTAGGCTACTGTCAGGCCTAAATTTCAGCAATGTGGGCCACTCATACGACGCGCGCCGTCAGAGCCAGCTGTTTTTTTTTTTGTTTTTTTGGTTTTTTTTATTATATTGGACACTTTCAAATAGTGAAATACTTACAGTCCAGACTGAACATTGTGTTCAAATTGTTAGTACATGTCGGTATTTACCCCATCTATCGGATTATGTAAAAACACCTGAAACACAAAGATCTCCGTGTTTGGCGGGTTGTTTACAAAACACGGAGGTTTTCGTGTTTGGCGGGCAGAGTGTTAATTACCATCAGATCAGATATGTCACATTTCTATCACCAAGAGAAAATACACAGTAAAAATTACCACAGATATATCGGGTGGATTTTTTCCCCTTCCCATCTATCTTTATTTAGGTCTTGACGCCATCTGTTAATTAAAAAATGAATCATGAGAATTATGCCCCTTCAATTTAAAAAAATAAGGTACTTTAGGAATTTCAACGTTAAAAACTAGTAACGTAGAACTCAAGACGAAAAACAAACAAAAAACAGCCAACTATGGAAATCATAGCGAGTCCACTTTATAATATCTTATGTTTACATGATGCAAAATTAAAAAAAGGTTTGTAAGTTTTTAATATGATTTTTGGTTTAAATAAACATGTTCAAATTTCAACATTTGGTTCATGAATCATAAATTTATGCTTTCTTTGATTTTTCTGCAAATTGTTTTAAGGCAAAACTTATTAAGTACTTTGAGGAAAACACTTGAATGTCAAAAATAGAGCTGAAAGAATTGTATGCAACTTAAATTTGGATTTTGATTTTAACAGTATGCAAGTTAAAACAATATTATTTAGGCTTAGGTAAATTCATTTAATACTGAAAATTTATTTTCATTTTTAATCCTTTATATTCATATAGGCCTATGCCCTAGTCTAGGATAACAAGATTTTTTTTTTTGGTAGTTTTACTGTATTTCGTATATGACAGGCAGGTCTGGATAGGATGAATGATTATGTAAAATAAATATTTTTTAAGTTAAAATGTTTAAATATAGTTATCGATTGATAGGTCGCCTAGCCAGACGAGTGAATGGGCTAGTTGGGCTGTTTTACAATCAGGGAACACAAGTATGTTTCACAGAGGGTCAAAATTGAGGCATGTTTTTTTTAATGTTTTTTATGTTTATTTTGGTCTACGTATATCAAAATGCCATGTTCTAGCGTTTTTATATGGCTGCATGAAGCATTTCTAAAAATTTGACATCATATTCCTAAATATAGAGAGAATGAAAAGTGATTCTTGTAGTAAGTGTAACAAAAAGCTGTCAGGAGAACCATTTTTCAACACTAAAAATTATACCAATTTAATAGTGAATTGTATACCTTTCCAATGGTATAATTTTAACACAGTATATGAACATATATTTTTTATATGAACATATATTTTTTATAAAACCATGTTTAACTACTTAACACTCGTCAAAAATTGGAATTGACTTCATAAAATATTTTATAAGTTTGACAAAAGTGCATGAATGTACACCTAATTATA